ATGCCGCAAGTAACCGCTCCTCCCCTCTTCGCCTCCCACTGTGGCACTCGGCTGACTTCTGCACCACTCAGCCGGGCCGCCGCGGGGGAGCAAGCGGCTCAAGAGGCCGTTTGGGCCGCGCACTTCCCATGCAGCACGGGCCGCCCACAGGGAACAGCCAGCATTTCAGCAACAGCACTGCCCAGAGGGAACAGCCAGCATTTTGGCGTTACAGACTCAGACACTGGGCTACTATATCTTCATTTACATGTACAAATCATTAGAGCCACATCCTCAACTCTTCATAGTGATCTGTGCCACACTAGTGGCAAAATGGATATTTAAAGCTACTTTAAGCAGCTAGCTGAAGATTCCAGAAAGGGATCTGTACAGTGCACTCTCTCATCCGTGGTCAACAAACCAGACACTAGTGGATTATTCAAGCCAGTACAACTTAGAGTAGCCCATAGTTTAGGAAGTGGTCAACCCAAGAGTAAGAGAAAAAAAGAAGGCTGAATAAAAGGAGAAATGTCCAGCTTTTGGAATAGCTTCCCAAGGTATGTTATGGAAGCCACTGTCATTTGGGACTTTTAACACTAGGCCAGTGAAAGTACTGGATAGACAATGGACTAAGAAGAAGTTTTACATTTGTGGGGAGATGGGCTGAATGATATAATAACTCCTTTCCATTTATATGATTCTGTCCCAAACATATCTAGTCAGACATGGTTATGTTATTCTCAGGCTCAAATCAGAGGGTCCCAGATATCTCTCAGTCTATTTGCATGCAAAAATAGCAGATTTACATATCTATTCATGCTAACTATTTGCACCATTTCTCACCTAATTTTATGAAAACCATTCCAATGTTCAGACTGCAGTAATCTGAAAAAAGACCACAAAGAATATGTTTATATTCTGTGTCTGACAGTTAGTGCTTGCTAAATATTGTTGTGTTCAGCATCAGCCTAGAACCTTAAACATAACACACACACTCTATTTTTTTAAATATGGATCATAGTTTTGGAAATATATGATGTAGTCTTTGTAAGTTTTCATCAAAAGGGAATATTTCTAAATTTAAGAAGTTTGTCATAAGTAAGTCTGATGGTAAATAGGATCTGACTACCTTTTTAAATATAGTTGTTGATGAAGTTGTGCTAGTGAAACTGATTTATCGGGTGTAATCATTGGATTTACTTAAGAAACAAGTACATTGATTTTCTATCTGGTTAGTTTGGCAGAAATACTTATTTGATCTATGAAATGCTGCTTTTTTTATGTTTATGAAATAGTACAGCCACATTTTACTTCTGTAACCTAAATTTATGGACTACATTTATATACCTGTACTCACCCATGTCCTATGTGTATATATTCGGACAGATGTTCATTTAACTTGCTTTTAAAAATTTCCAATGATAGCGTTTCCACAGCCTCCCAAAGCAATTTATTCCAGTTCTTAACCATGCTGGTGTTAGGAAGTTTTTCTCTATCGTCCAACCTAAGCCATCTTTGCTGCAATTTAAGCCCATAAGCTTCTTGTTCTCCTTAACCTCTGAGGACAGGGCAATTTTTCTCCCTCCTCCTTTTATGTGCTTGAAAATTATATCCCCTCTGTCTTTTCTTCTATAGCCTAAGCAGACCCATTTTTTCAATCTTCTCTCAAGTCATATTTTCTAGACCTTTAATGATTTTTGTTGCTTTCCTTTGGAC